CAGATTTCGTATGGCCCTAGTTATATCTTCCTTCCCGGTGGGTAGTGATCCAACTAACACTCACCAAGAACATGTCTTTGTTTTCTTCAATTATCTCCAATTAACTGTTTAGAAAGAAAAAAACTATTCCTGCTAAAATTGCCCAAATCCAATACAGCTCTAAACAAACTCTAATTATACCAAATGCTGATCTTCTTTGTTTTAAAAAAGTGGTAATTCAAATGTGCATGTATGTGTGTGTATGTATGTATGAAAACAATGTGCTATGATAAGTTATGGTAGTTAGTTTTTAGAATCACTGATCAATGTATACCTGTAAAGGAGAAATGTATACTAATTATTATTGGCAATAAATATTTGGACATGTTGCCCATGGTTTGTGTAAACACCTTTTGTATGTGATTATCAGAATTTATTGCTTTAAATAAGTTATTTAAATTATCTTTCATGATAACACAAGGTACATAAACAATACTCTACCTTTTCTAGGTCACACCTTGAAATTAGAGCAAAGGCTAATTAGGCACCAAGCATTGAATTCTAAGATGTAATTTATTGTTTCCATGGTGGAGACCAAATCTAAGAATTTATTTTAAGTAAAACACAATTATTTTTAGCTATGTCATTCAGGCTAAATCACACTCTCTGAATTTTCTCTCTCTCCCTCTCTTTCTTTCTTCCTCCCTTTTCCCAATTTCTCAATGTATATCTTTATAGTAAACTAAATAATCATTATAATAAGTGTATTCTTTCTCAAACAATTGATCTTATTACAGAGATATATACATTCTAAACTGTGTTCTAAATGAAGATTAATACATCCTCTTAACAATGCAGAACAAATAGATTCATTGATTCTGTTTTTTTCTTGAGGGAATTAAAAAAAAGAAAATGTATTTAATATGTGAGCAACTACACAGCTGTGCCACACAATTATCAGGAGTGTTGCACTGGTGTTTATTCTCACTCAGCTACCTTCACATAGCATGCCACTTCACTACACTTCACTACGTATTGTCACATGGAACATGGTAAAACAAAGAGTTTTTTAATGATTTATATTAAACCCATATTTCACAGCTACTATACATATGACCTTTTCATGGTAACTATTTCTTAGTTTATGAGCACTACATTTTAAAAAACAGACTCTCTAAATAGCATACAATTTAAGCAGATCCTAATTAATGTAAACCATGAGGCAATTGAATTTACTTTAAAATGTTAACAGGTCCATTTTTTGCAATTCTCTTGATTACTATTGTGTAGACTAATTTGTACTTTCAACATTTTGCATATAATGTTCTTCTAAGACCCTAAAACAATATCAATTTGGTTGAATATATTCTTAAATATAAATATACAGGGTTTGACACAAATAACACCCCCTTTTAAAAAAATTTAATTGTTATTCAAGTACAGCTTTCTGTCTTTTACTTCCATCCCTTTTTATTACAAAATCTTTTATTACAAAATCATAAGCATGTAATTCTGTAACACAACAATATCAAACTAATCATACCCTGTGACATTTTGGATGGCACGTTCAAATTAAAACTATAAATTAGTATATCCATATTACTCCCCTACCAACCACACTCAAGGAGGCATTACTTCTTCTGGACCCTATACATTGCTATAGTTCAGGACAATGAAAAAGCTAGGAATATTTCAGACTCTAGTTGATGTAATTGACATTTTTGATAATTCAGAGATTGGAGTTGGCAAATATCAAAGTGATTGGACGTGTAGGACAAAATCTCAGAGTAGAGAGAACCACAAAAAAATGAATACAAGTTGTCTGTGTGCAACTGCCCCTAAGGTTATTTCTCCACTTCTAAGTATGTTCAGAGAGCTACTAGAATATTTTGTACAAAAACCAGTAGTTAGGAAGCTAAAGAGCTGTTCAGAGATTTCATCACCAACGCAATACAGGAAGTCAGGGGTTGGAGTTCCAGACCTGCCAAAATGAATAACACTAGTAAACGACCCTAGCTGGTAGTTAAGACCTCAAAGGAGGACAGACTAAGAGTAAGGACTATGATCTAGAAGTAAAGCTAAAGATAAACATGTTCTGGCTGAAAGGAAGAAAAAAAGACTAAAAAGGATCTTCCAAGAGGAAACTTGGTTGAAAGAAAGTGAAGGGATTAGCCAAAGAACATATATGCATAACTCACAGATACAGACCACAGTACGGTGATGACAGAGGGAGCGGGTGGGAGCAAGGTGGAAGCATAAAGGAGGGGGTGGGGAATGGAGACATTGTAATAGTGTCTACAATAAAAGTTGTTTTTTTATTTTTTATTTTATTTAGTTATTTTTCAAGTACAGTTTTCTGTCTATTTCTCCCATCCCAGCCCACCCTGCCCCATGCTCCCCACCTCCCTCCCATTTCCACCCCCTTAGTTCTTGTCCCTCTGTGCTTCATACTTGTTCCTCCAAATCCCTCCCCTTTTTCCCCTTAAATTCCCTCCCCTCTCCCCTCTGGTTGCTGTCCCCCTGTTCTCTATTTCAGTGTCTTTGTTTTTATTGTGCTTGCTTGTTTGTTTTGTTGTTTAGCTTCCTGTTAAAGGTGAGATCACATGGTATTTGTCTTTCAACACCTGGCCTATTTCACTCAGCACAATGCTTTCCAGTTCCATCCATGTTGTTGCAAAGGGTAGGAGCTCCTTCTTTCTCTCTGCTGCATAGAATTCCACTGTGTATATGTACCACAATTTTTGGATCCATTCATTTACTGATGGGCACCTAGGTTGCTTCCAACTCTTGGCTATTGTAAATTGTGCTGCTATGAACATTGTGGTGCATAAGGTTCTTTGAAACTGATGTCTTACAATTCATAGGATTTAATCCTAGCAGTGGAATTGCTGGGTCAAAAGGCAGGTCAATTTTTATTTTTCTGAGAAAATTCCATACTGTTTTCCATAATGGTTGTACCAGTCTGCAATCCCACCAACAGTGAACTAAGGACCTCTTTTCCCCACAACCTCTCCAACATTTGTTGTTTGTTGCTTTGTTTATGATAGCCATCCTGACTGGTGTAAAGTGGTATCTCATTGTGGTTTTAATTTGCATCTCTCTGATAGCTAACGATATTGAGCATCTCTTCATGTGTCTCTGGATGTTCTGTATGTCCTCCTTGGAGAAGTGTCTGTTCAAGTCCTTTTCCCATTTTTTTAATTGGGTTGGGTGTCTTCTTAGAGTGGAGTCATGTAAGTTCTTTGTATATTTTGGTGATTAAACCTTTGTCTTAGGTATCATTGGCAAATATGTTTTCCCACACAGTTGGTTGTCTTTTTAATTTAATACTGTTTTCTCTAGCCATGCAGAAGCTTTTTATTTTGATGAGATCCCATTTGTTTATTCTTTTTTTTTATATTCATTGCTCTAGGGGACATATCAGTAAAAATGTTGCTGTGTGAAATATCTGAGATTTTTCTGCCAATGTTCTCTAGGACTTTAATGGTTTCAAGGCTTATATTTAGGTCTTTTATCCACCTTGAATTTATTTTGGTATATGGTGTAAGTCTGTACTCAAGTTTCAATTTTTTTGCACGTAGCTGTCCAGTTCTCCCAACACCATTTGTTGAAGAGACTATCTTTACTCTATTTTATGTTACTGCCCCCTTTGTCAAATATTAATTGACTGTAGAGAGTTGGGTTGATTTCTGGGCTCTCTGTTCTGTTCCATTGGTCTATGTGCCTGTTTTTATGCCAGTACCAGGCTGTTTTGATTACAGTAGCCTTGTAATACAGTTTGATATCAGGTATTGTGATCCCTCCTACTTTGTTCTTTTTTCTTAAAATTGCAGCTGCTATTTGGGGTCATTTATGGTTCCATATAAATTTTTGAAGTGTTTGTTCTATGTCTGTGAAATATGCCATTGGTACTTTAATAGGTATTGCATTGAATCTGTAAATTGCTTTAGGTAGTATGGACATTTTGATGATGTTAATTCTTCCGATCCATGAACAAGGTATATGTTTCCATTTGTTTGTGTTTTCCTTGATTTCTTTCTTCAGTTCTGTGTAGTTTTCTGCATACAGGTCTTTTACCTCCTTAGTTAGGTTTATTCCCAGATATTTTATTTTTGTTTTTGCTATATCAAATGGGATTTTTTCCTTAATTTCTGCTTCTGCTGATTCATTGTTTGTATACAAAAATGCCTTTGATTTCTGGATATTGACTCTGTAACCCGCTCTTTTGCCAAATTCATTAATTAGTTTGAGCAGTTTCTTGGTAGAGTCTATAGAATTTTCCATGTACACTATCATGTCATCTGCAAACAGTGACAGTTTTGTTTCCTCCTTTCCTATTTGGATGCCTTTTATTTCCTTTTCTTGCCTGATTATTGTGGCTAAAACTTCCAACACTATATTGAATAGAAGTGGTGAAAGTGGACATCCTTGTCTTGTTCCTGATCTTAGTGGAAAAGCTTTTAGTTTTTGCCCATTGAATATGATGTTAGCTGTAGGTCTCCCATATATGGCCTTTATTATGTTGAGGAATTCTCCCTCTATTCCCACTTCGCTAAGTATTTTTATCATAAATGAGTGTTGTACCTTATCAAAAGCTTTTTCCGCATCTATTGATATGATCATGTGGTTTTTGTCTTTGCTTTTGTTTATGTGATGTATTACATTTACTGATTTGCGAATATTGAACCATCCTTGCATCCCTGGGATGAATCCCACTTGGTCATGGTGTGTGACTTTTTTGATATATTGTTGGAAGCGATTTGCCAATATTTTGTTGAGAATTTTAGCATCTATGTTCATCAGCGATATTGGCCTGAATTTCTCTTTCTTTGTTGTGTCTCTATCTGGTTTTGGAATTAGGCTGATGCTGGCTTCATAACAAGAATTTGGGAGTTTTCCATCCTTCTGGATTTTTTTTAATATTCTGTGAAGAATAGGGGTTAGCTCTTCCTTAAATGCTTTGTAGAATTCTCCTGTGAAACCATCTGGTCCAGGGCTTTGGTGTGATGGGAGTTTTTTGATTACTGCTTCATGGGCAGGTGGAGGATTTGAATTTCATACCCTGATCCATAGTTTTCACAATTCCATGTGCAATTTCTGAAAGATTCATCATTTACTGCTGACATGCCGCCCTTTGGAGTGGAGGAGCGGGAGGAGCCTTTGTCTGTGCTCTCAGACCCTGAGCTGCTCTGGTTCTGCTGTTCTGACCTGCACTGGAGGTCACTGTGGATGAGGATGTGGAGGGACAGCGAGTCTTTTCCTTAAAGTCTGTGATAATGACGGTGACATTGCCCACAGTTACTGCCAACTGCTGTGCAGTGCTTCTGCCCACGTTTTTCAGTAGGAGCCTTGAGGTGTGATTCGATCCACTGGTCTTTGTTGTAGCATTTGCAGACTGTATGCTGTATGCTTCACTAGGAGGATCTTTCAGAATATCGGACTTGGTTTTGTTTTCTTGTTGGCATTTTTCTTGGTGACACTGGGACTAATTCCCTTGTCTTTCTCAGGCTTCCCTTTGTCTTGCTTCTCCACCTTCTCCTTCTTCGGAGGTGGGGGTGTGGCGTACTGTTGTGCCACTTGCTGTGCCACCAGCTGCGAGCTGATTCGAGGCTTTCTGGTGGAGGTGCCTTTCCTCACATCACAGATGCTGCATTTAAAGGCTTCCACGCTGTTTCTGAAGGTGCATATGCTACAATCCCAAAAGCCTTCATCTGCAGCAGGTTTTGCTTGTCTTTTTGGCCTGGTTAACTCTCCCTTTGTCTGGGAGGAGTGGCTGCGGCAGAGGGTCGCAGAGGAGGGTCGCAGAGGAGGGCCCCCGTGGCTGCGGTGCACAGGGCCTCGGGCCTCAAGGCAAAGCGACACCGCCTCCCGCTGCTGTGGTGGCCCAACAATAAAAGTTTTTTTAATTAAAAAAAATTTTAAAAGAATCCTCCAAGAGATCAAGTGAATCACTCTATCCTCAATTTGTCCTCCAGAAAAATTGTCAACCCTTTTTGTGGAAGACACAATTATTCAGAGCTTCTCCGATTTTTTATATACAATATTTAACATTAAATAAAATATTACAAAGTATGTTTTAACAAAAACAATGGCCAGAAAACAAAAGAAAAATAGCTAGACTATCACAATTTTCAGAAAATAACTGTAAAATAAATATAATTATCATGTTGATAAGAATAGAAAATAATGGAGAATATCACTGTAAACCTCAAATCCTTGAAAGAAATCAACATTCTAGAAGTTAAAAATTCAATAGCTGGAAATTCCAGTTTCAGCTGCAACATATAAAGAAGAGGTTTGAAGTTGTTGTTCTCACCCTTAACAAGAAAAAGTAGAACAAAGATAAAATCAATTTTTTAAAAATTGGGCCCTGGCTGGTGTAGCTCAGTGGATTGAGCACGGGCCTGTGAACCAGACAATCCCGGTTCGATTCCCAGTCAGGGCACATGCCTGGGTTGCAGACCAGTTCCCTGCAGGCCAGTTCTCAGCAGGGGACGCACAAAAGGCAACCGTACATTGATGTTTCTCTCCCTCTCTCCTTCCCTTCCCCTCTAAAGAAAAATAAATAAATAATTTTAAAAAAAATTTGAATCCATCATATCACTTAGATTACAAGTCAAATTGTCACCCTGAATTCAGAGAAACAGTCAAATCAAGAGTCATGGTCAAAGATTTCTCTCTTGGAGTAGGAGCCACAGGAATCATAAACGTGTAGGAGTAACTACATGGTGATTTGGCTGAGCTGCTGGGAGATGAGTGTGGACTAGCAAAACAAAAGAAAATCTTGGGTCCATAGTCTTAGGAACAGTTGCATACTTTGCAAGCCCACTATGTTCTCAATGTGAATATCATAAAAGGATCCCCTTTTGGATCTGACAGGGAAGGGGGTCAGGTAATTATTGTCAAATACTCCCAGAATTATTTCTGTGAACATTGCCTATTCTGCAAAGAGAAAAAAATACCAGACATTTATTCCACCTGGGGGAAATGACTCACTCATACCCCTGCTTTCTTTAACTTCACTGTCTCATCTAAAGAAGATAAAAAGTTATACAAGCAGAGAAACATGTATAAAGGTCATAACCCAGAGGCACAAGCTCACAAAAATACAGAGATTTAATTAAAAGATTATAGAACATTTTCCCTTCCCACACCTTTCTACCACAGCAGCAAGGCTCCATTATAATAACAATGGTTTACAACTGAAAGACACAGATTCAGAAACCCAAAGTCAAAAGGGATACAGAGAAAAGTACACTAAAGTAGTATAATTATGATGTGTCTTGGAGTAGGCCTCTATCGGTCCATCTTGTTTGGGACTCTCCTTACTAGACATGTATGTCTATTTCTCTCACCAAATTAGGGAAGTGTTCTTTCATTATTTTTTCAAATAGGTTTCTGATTTCTTGCTCTTTCTCTTCTCCTTCTGAGACCCCTATGATACAAATGTTGGAATGCTTAAAGTTGTCTAAGAGGCTGCTTACACCACCCTTAATTTTTTGGATTTTTTTCTTCTTACTGTTCTGATTGATTGAATTTTGTTTTCTTATTTTCCAAACCGCTGATTTGATTCTCAGCTTCATCCACTCTAGTGTTGATTCCATGTAAATTGTTCAATTCAACTAGTGTACCTTTCATTTCTGACTGGATCTTTTTTATGCTCTTGAGGTCCTCACTAATTTCCTTGAGCATCCTCATAACCAGTGTTCTGAACTCTGCAAATAATAGATTGCTTTTTTCTATTTTGTTCAGTTCTTTTCTTATAGTTACATTATTTTCTTTCATTTAGGCCGTGTTTCTTTGTCTCCTCATTTTGGCAGCCTCCCCATTTGTTTCTATGTATAGGTTGCTTGAGAGAGTGGCTTAATGATGTAGTAGGTGTCCTGTAGGGTCCAGTGACACAATCCTCCTATTACCCCAGCTGGGTATCCACTGTATCGGTTGTGTACACTCTCCTCTTGTAGCTGAGCCTTCACTGATGTTGCCATGTCCAAGGTCATCCACTGGCTGTGTTTTGTCCAGTGTCATACTGCATTAGCTACAAGGAGATCTCCAGATGGCTGCCACTTGTGCTGGGCTTGGAGGTGCAAGGCCAAACTGTGAATCAAAGCCAGCTGCCACATCAAGGCACATCATAACTAAAATGCCAAAGGTTATAGACAGTGAGAGAATCTTAAAAGCAGGAAGAGAAAAGCAGTTAGTCACCTACAAGGGAACCCTCATAAGACTGTGAGCTGATTTTTCTTCAGGCTAGAAAGGATTGACAAGAAATATTCAAAGTGATGAAAATCAAAGACCTACAACTAAAATTATTTTACCCAGCAAAACTACCATTTAGAATTAACAGAGATAAAGAGCTTCCCAGACAAGGAAAAGCTAAAGGAGTTCAGCACCACCACAGTAGTATGATATGAAATATTAATGGATCTTCTTTTTAATAAATTATATTTTGCTTTCTTTTTTAAAGATATTTATTAACTTTTTAAGAGGGGGAAGGGAAGGAGAAAGAGAGGGAGAGAAACATCAATGTGTGAGACATACATGAATCAGTTACCTATGGCTTGCCCCTAACTGGGGACCTGGCCTGAAATTTAGGCATGTGCCTTGACTGGGAGTTGAACCAGTGATCTTTTGGGTTCACAGGCCAGCGCTCAACCCACTGAGCCACACCAGCCAGGGCAAAGGGTATTCTTTAAGAACTAAAAGAAGAAGATAAAAACTCCCCTCCACTGAGTCCACTCCTCACTTCAGTCAATCCCCACTCCATTGTTCATGCCCATGGATCATTTATACACGGTCTTTGACTAATCTTTTCCCTTCCTTCCACCATTACCCAAAGTGATGAAAGAAAAAAATCAACCTGAGATTAAATATCTACCAAAATTTTACTTCCAAAATGAAGGACAAATCAATACTTTTTGGACAAATAATAATTGAGAGAAATCATTGCAAGCAGATCTATCATGCAAGAAATCTTAGAAATCTCAAGAGGGAAAAAGAAAATGATAAATTATATAGATGAGAATTGTGTATCTACATAAAAAAGGAGTTGTACCATGGAAGTAATAAATAAAAGCTACATGAAATTTTTTATTGTTTTTATTTTTATTTAATATAAAATAAAAAAAAAAAAAAAAAAAAAAAAAAAAAAAAACCCACGGACCCCAAAAAAAATAATTTTGTTTAAAGTAGTAGTAGTAGTAAGAACATATTGGGTTGTTATAGCATACATATGTAAATATATATACATATACACATGTGTATATACATATATACATGGATTAGAGAAACTAATGGGGAATATTATACTATAAATATAATACACTATATACAAAAGAGTTTATGTAGATCTTTAAGAGTTTATGTAAAATAACAGAGGCATTATTTTAAAGTGTGTTTGGATTAGTTGTATCAATATACCACAAACTTGAGGACAACTAAAGATTTTTCTTTTTTTTCATTGTTACTTAAGTACAGTTGTCTCCCATTTTCACCCCACCATGTCCCCCTGCCCCATCCATCTCTGCCTCCAACCCTCAAACCTACTCCCTTTAGCTTTGTTGATGTGCCCTTGATGGATTTTCCCATATTTTCCCCATTAACCCTCACCCCCTCCCTCTAGTTCGTAATCAACAAGACAAATAAGCAAGCAAAATATAACTAGAAACATTGAAATAAAGAACAAACTGACAGTAAAACATTTTTAAGCAGAAGTATATTTTCTATGCCAAGAGAAATGAAGAAATGGAATCTTATAAAACAGTCAGTTAAACCACAGAAGACAGAAAAAGAAAGGAAGATAAAAATACAAAAAATGAGTACAAGAAATACTGAACAGTTACAAACATGGTAGATGTTAATTTAGCTAGATTGTCTAAATACACCATTATAAAATGACAGAGATTCTCCAAGTCCACTACAAATGATCGCGATATATGTTTTCTACAAAAAGTCATTTTCAATATGAAGATAAACAGATTAAAATAAAAGGGACATAGAAAGATAAGACATGCTAACATTAATCAAAATAAAGCTGTGTTACTATATTAATTTCAAGGAAAGCAGGCTTTTAAGAAAGAAAAATTGTTTTGGATGTAGGGAGAAAGTATATCCTAGTAAAGTAAAAATTCTCCACTAAGACATAAAAATACTAAATCAATATGCACCCAACAACTCAGCATCAAAATACATGAGGCAAAAACTGACATACCTGAGAAGAGAGATAGACAATCTACTATTGTGGCTGGACATTTAACTCCCCTCTGTCAGTATTTTACAGATCAAGCAGGGGGCAAGTCAGTAAAGACAGATGCAGATGACCTTAATAGCACTATCCACCAACTGGATTAATCAACATTTTCAGAATATTCCATTCAACAAAATCAGAATTAAAATTCTCTTTAAACTCGCATGGAACATTTCTTAAGACAGAATGCATTTTTGACCATATAACATACCTCACAAAATTGCAAAGAACAGAAATTGTACAAAGCATGTTCTTAGAGCACATGGAATTTAAATAGAACAAAATAACAAAAATATAGCTGAAAAATTTTAAATATTTGGAAATTTAAAAAAAGACACTAAATAACATTAGAATCAAAGAAGTCCCAAGGTAAAGATACTGTGAACTTAAAATGAAAGCACAAATTATCAAAAATTATAGGATGCAGCAAAAACAGTGTTTTGAGGAAAATGTATACATGAAAGGCATATGTTAGAAAAAAAGACACCCTGAAATTAACATTATAACACTACATAAAGAAGAACAATTTCATCCTAAAAGAAACAAAAGACCTAAGAATTAGAGCACAAATTATGAATTTGAAATTTGAAAACAGAAAAACAGAAATGAAACAAAATGCTGGTTCTTCAAAAAGTCAACAAAGTTAAAAAACTTTAGGTTGTCTAACTGTAGTAAAAGAAAATATAAATTACAAATGTTAGAATTGAAGGACGGTTCATCACTGTTGATCTCATGGACATTAAAAGAATGATTAAAGAACAATGTGACCAAATATGTGCTGTTCCTGTAATAATTTACATGAAATTGACTCCTTAAAAGAAGCAAACTGCCAAAACTTAAATTTAAGAAAAAACAGATAATCATAAATGGGTTTTATATATTAAAGAATTTGAATCAGTAATTAACAAACTTGAAATAAAACCTGGGTTCAGATGACTTACACATTGTGACAGACATTCAAATTTCAAAATACAGTTCACAAACTCATCCAAAAGTACAAGTAGACAGAACATGTCCTAACTCATTCTAAGAGTCTAGAATTATCCTAACACCAGAACCAGAACAAGGCTTTACAAAAATAAAAATAAAAAGGAAATTACAAACCCAAATCTTTCATAAAAACACATGCAAAAATCCTTAATAAAATATTAGCAAGTTGAATAAAAAATGTGCCAAAGAAAGAATACACTCCATGATCAAATGAGATCTATTCCAGCTACTCAAACCTGGTTGAACACTTAGAAATCTCGAAAGGCAATCCATCCACTATATCAACAGGCTAAAGACAAATAATATGATCATATCAACTGATGCAGAGAAAGCATTTGACAAAATCAAGCCCTCATTTATGATTAAAATCTCTCAGAAAACTAGACATAGAAACTTCCTCAACTTGATTTTTTTAAAGTATGAAAATAGAGTAAACATCATACTTAATAGTGGAAATTAGAAGTCTTCCCCCTACATCAGGAACAAGACAAGCATGTTCTCCTTCACCAACCTTATTTATAATTGTACTGAAAGCTAGTACAATAACACAGAAAAATAAGTGCAGATGCATAAATTGGAAGGAAAGAAGTAAAAGTATCTCTATTCACAGATGACATGATTATGTATGTAGAGAATACAAAAAACAACAACAAAATCCTAGAACTAATAAGCAACTCTAGCAAGGTCACAGGACACAGAGTTAATATACGGGTCAACTGTTTTCTTACATTCCAGGAATTAACTATTGGAATTTTAATTTCAAAAAAGTGATATCATATATAATAGCAAACAAAAAAATACTTAGATATAAATCTGACAAAACATAGTTGATATAAAAAGACAAAAGATGCCGAATATACAATGCAAGTAAGAAAAACAAAATTAGAGCACTGCTACTCTGAATTTCAAGACCCACTCTAAGGTTCCAATAATCAAGACAGTATGGTACTCTCTTGATTAACAATATTAATCAAGTACTTGATAACAATACTGTCTTAACAATATCAATATTGTTAAGGTAGCTCCTGCAGATCTGTGTTCTTTTAGAGGATCTCAGGTCCCAGGGGGAAGGGAGTGGGCTGGGATGGGAGTAAAAGACAGAAAACTCTACTTGAACAATAATTAAATTTTAAAAAAAGCCTCTGTCACTGTCAGTGAAAGCTTTCTTTGGTAGTGCGCAACCAGCCTGTCTCTGTGCTTTGAAAATATTCTCAGATTGTAATGAGGTAAAGCATAGATGCATTTTTATTTCTTCATTTAATTTAAATTAAATTATATCAATTTAATGCCAGAGAGAGACCTTTGCATCACAGAGGGTCAACAAATTTCCAAAGTGAAAATATTGGGTCCTCAGTTCTACATACTATCTCTGTTAAGAACCCTCTTTGTCATTTTAAGGAGTGCACAAAGTTTCTTCATCTGATCAGTGCTCCAGCAGGCAGTAGCCAAACTTGCATTGCCATGCTAATACCTATATTTATCTTTTTATCTTAATTTCTTACTTTTACTGACCTCCAGGCCAGTAAAGTCACTATTTTTCTGACAGTCACTATTGTGGTGACCCAGGCTTTACCCAGCCAGTTTCTGCTCTTTTCCAATTAGTTCAGCCCAACTTCCTTTTCCTAGAACAACACTGACAGCTTCAGCATTGGATTTTGACACTGTCAGAAGGAAACAAGGGGTTGTGCTTGTCAGGTAGTGTTTACAGTGTCTGCAGAGGTGCACAGTATTGTCCTCGGCCTTCACTACCAC